CTGGAGAACCCCTGGACGCCAACAGCGATTAAAATCCTGCCAGGAAGTCCATCCTTATAGTGGTGGAACCATCATGGTATGGGCGGGTATTTGGATCGGCGGAAGAACTGAGTTGATTTGGATCAGAGGCAACCTCAACGCTCAAATTTATGCTGAGACGATTGTATCAGACGTCATCGTTCCTCTACAAGTGCAAATCGGTCCCTTATTTCAGTTAATGCATGATAATGCACGACCGCACACCGCAAGAGTTGTAAGACAGACTCTCGCCGCAGCTAACATCAATGTCCTGCCCTGGCCTGCTCAGTCGCCAGACTTGAACCCGATTGAGCATGCATGGGATATGCTACAGAGAAGAGCTCTGCCGAATATGGAGGGTATCCAGTCGCAAGAAGACCTTTTTTTGTTGTTGCAACGAACATGGGCGGCCATTCCACAGCGTGATTTGGATGAACTCATTTTGAGTATGCCAAACCGATGTTCTTGTGTTGTTAGTGTTCGCGGTAGAAATACGGATTATTAATTGTTTAAGTTACCCAATAAAATTTTAGAGAAAACTGTTATTTCAGTCTTTTTTTCGAACTTTTGTGTTAGTGGTTCAAATGTCAAAAATCCCTTTATTAGGAAAATGGCAAATTTCTTTATTAATGCAAAGGTGACTTGGTTTATCGTTACTGTGACAAACGAAAACACTTTATTTGATGAATCCTTAAAGAAAATTTTAATTAATATCAATCAGGAGAAAAGTTATTGCAAAAATATATGTTGATCCCTAGACACTTTTGATGTGTGTAGTATAAAAGATGTTCGATTATTATCATGTCTCACATATTTTACTGTTAGACAGCATGCAACAGTTTATAAATTAAATGAAAATTAAGGTGTTATTTTAAGCTTATAAAAATCATACAATGTCAAATAAATATAAAATTATCCACAGGGCTTGTAACCGGTTTCGAAAATACCGGTAAATAAAGATTAATACCGGTTTTTAGTAAAGGTTTCGTTCGGACCGCGTCCGAAATGAAAGCGGTACCTAAAACCTTAATAAACCGGTTTAATCCAGAGCGACACGTGCACGCGTCGGCATCACTTGAAGATTGTTTTGTTTGAACTAATCAAGTCACAATTTGTTAATGCTCAGAGATTGATGCATTTACACGTTTGCTAGCATCTACTGAGTCAAGTTATTCATTTTGTAGTTGTGTACTGACAAACTACTTCACTCACTCGCTCTGTAGTTGGAAAGAAACTGACATAAAATCATTATAAATTTGAATTGAAACGGCGAAGGTGATGCCGTCAGTAAGAGCGAAATGAAACCCTTTAAAACCGCTAAATTGATTCTAACCTATTTGATTTCGCGTTTTAGGAAAACCTGTTTTTTTACGGTAAAAGTATAGCCAAACCTAAATAAAACGCTCCTAATGTACTTGATACTGATTTAGGTTTGAAAATTAACCGGTAAACAAGCCCTGATTATCCATCAAAATGTAAAAAATAGATGTCCAATGTTACAAAATTGGTTTACTCTCAAGATTCCAATTAATCAATAATCATACAATGGTGTCAATTCATAATAAAATAATAATCAAAGTGTAAAATAATAAATGCCCATTGTTTGTTTCCTTTCAGGATCCTCTAATAATCAGTATCATATAATGTCAAATAAATTAATTAAATGATCAAAATTTAGAATAATATATGTTCAAAATCAAATTTCCATTTATTGAAGTCCAGTAAGCCTAATTATCCTCAAAATACTTTGCAAGTGAATAATAGCATTTTTCAATTGATAATTTACAGACGTCTGAATATGAGCAGAGGTAATGACTTGAATGTTTCAGCTAGATTGTGATATATTTTCACGGACATTGTAAAGCTATTTCTGCCACAAAATTCAGTTCTAGAGTCCGGTATACTAATTTTTTTGGATACCTAATATTAAAAGAACAACAGTCTTTTTATTTTTATAAAAGTCAGGGTGCATTTTGACAAAAATACAGATTTCAAAATACAAATACACGGAACTGTCAACAACTAAAAGACTTGAACAGAGGCCTGCAAGAAACTCGAGAATCAACATTTGCAATAGATGTAATGCATTGTTTTTGTGCAATAAATAAGTGGTACGTATGTGCAAAAACCGCAAAAATCAAAAAAGTGTCGTTCCGCGATCTGATACTGTGAGTATTGTGTGTCGGGAAGAGGTGCGAGTGAATAGTGAGAATGTGACCAGTGGTAGGGGTATCGAACGCAGTAAAAGACGACGTCAGAGGGTAGACCGATATGTCTGCCAATAACATCTACCCGCAATTACTTCAGTTACTCCGTGATCATGGCGCTTGCAACAGTGCCGAAATATCGGAGGCTCATTAAAAACAAGGTACATGGTAACAATCCCGTTAATAGCTATTATGTTAGTGACCATGAAAGTTTAAAACAATAAATAAGTGTCTATAAAAATACGTGTCCAATACTTTTTGATAATCTACCTGATAGATGAAAACAAAAGAAAAGTGATGATTCAGAAAAAATTGCAGCTCCAATCGTTATTACTTTGTCGGTAATAAAACCTAATTCCAGTACTGAAATACTACTTATAAGTCAACTTGAATAAAGTTTCTTTTTAAAATTGATTTTATTAAAGATCGTATTGTATAAAATCATATATGTATGTTAAGCCATAATAGAAGTAAAAGGCAGGTGTATTTTCCCATATTATTTATAATTATGGGAAATTCGAATTGATGTGTTACATACACACGCATATCCGGAATTTGGCCGCCTCCGTCAAAACATCCGTAATGTTATTACGTGATTTTAGCCGTAACCTATTTCCATCGTCAATAATATTTTTTTACGCCAATATGAGTTTGTCGTGTTAGCTCTATAAACATTAACCTATTTCTCTTCTGCCCGTGTTAATTTTATCACACATTTTATTGCCAAATATTTTCAAATATTTCTCGGTTTAAGTACCTATACTCATCAAAATAACTTTTGACCGATTTTAATATTTTTAATACTTATATTCTTTTGTTAATAACAACTTTATAATAACCAATTTGATTTAATAGCGATTTATTCAAAGGTATTTTTAGTCGAGCGACTAAAGCTAAAAAATACCTTTGAATAAATTATACATTTCGTAACGATAATATGAAATATCTACTGATAAAACTCGCAGTTTGCGTAAATGATGCATGTTGTTTAAAGTGTTTTGATGTGTGTATAATGTATAATTATGCACTTATACTGTCTGAAATGAATTGAGCTCAGAAATAAGTCTAAAAAACGCAGTCAAAACAACTTAACTCTCTATGTGCTGTATCCATACAGTTAATCAAATCTCCATGTTATATTTTCCCTCGTTATATAGTCTTGCATCTTCTATAATGTCTCATATCTACTTTTCGCGCTCGAATTTCGATTCGCACCTTTCGGGGAATACGAATTAAATCATTAATATTTAATTCGCACATGTAATCGATGCATCGTTCATTGCAGCCATCGTAAATGCAGCAACTGTTAATTAATTTATGAGTGAAATCGATAAAGGAAAAAAATTGATTTTAATCGGTGAATAAAGGACAATGTTAAAATTGGCCTAAGAACCAACACCAATTTGGCATTTATGATAATTCTTAGTATATTTTTTGCGATAATTATCAGTATTTAGATTGTGACGGACACTTCCAGTTAAGTAAGCTAAATTAAAAAGTTAAAAAATAATCTGAGACAATAAATACCATTTTATGTGTATAATCTATGGCAGCGCTGCAAACAACACACTCTTTCTTCCTAATGCCGGCACTTCACTTGGCTATTCGTATTTGCTATTTTAAAACATGACATCTGTCTGTCGTTTTCATTCCTTATTAAGCATGACAAGGACAAACTGTTGTCAAGTGAAGGGCCGGCATAAAACTCGTTACTCTGTGGTTGTGGTGCATGCAGTTTGCATTTGTAGTAATCTGTGGCATTCGTGCATTCCAAAGAGTAGTATAATATACCGGAAAGTGCATTCTCGTTTCGGATTATACCTGTTGTGTGTGTTTATTTGCGATTGTTTTTCCTTTAATTTAAGTATTTCGGCTATCTAATATGCCATCGATGTTACCAAAGAGCAGAGCCCTTATTACCCAGTGCTAATGAACCTGTGCCATAACATCCTGAGAGGATCATACTACCAAATTATTCAAGAACACCTGATACACATTCATGCTGCATATTTACACAATATACATGTGATATACAAATAAATACAATAAACAATATGATACAATTATAAGAAAAATAGTCAATAAATAAGAAGCAGAACTACAGTTTTTATTTTATTCATGATTCCTACCTAACCAAGTTTTTCCTAATAGTTATTCTTTAAAATCGCACCGAATAAAATGAATTAGTTGTAATATTAATTCACTTCATACTGAGTTCATACTAAATTCATAGGTTGACCTATGTTTCATTGAATATTAAACATAACCTCAAAACATTTTTAGTTTTCCTAATAATTTAAGTCTCAGAAGTGTCCGTCAATAATCTTTGTTTTTACAGTCATTTACTTACGATTTCGAACTTAGAAAATAATATATCATGATTGTTGGTTTTTAGACCAACTATGTATGGACGCTGAACAATGTCCTTTATCTCCTTGTCTATTCATATCCATTTTCATCATCGACGACCTCCGTAGTCGAGTGGTTTGTACGCCGGGTTTCATGGTGTCGCCGACTCGAGAGGTCCCGGGTTCGAATCCCGGTGGTGATAGATGTTTGTGTGATGAATACGAGCATTTGTACTCCAGTCATGGATGTTTCATATGTATTTCTAAATAAAAATATACTTATATATGTACAGTGTATGTATTCTATCCGTTACCCTAGTATCCCATAACACAAGCCTTATAGTGCTTACTTTGGGGCTAGGCTAATTGGTGTGAGTGTTGGAAATATTTATTTATTCTATATTAAAAAGTAATACTCTTTGTTGCAGATTTGGCAGCTTTGTTAGCTGAAATCAGATATTAAAGGTAAGTTTAAAAGCATAATCCAATAAATTTAATAGGGTATCTAATCAAATATATATCAAGTAAAAATCAGAAGCCAAAAGAGAAATTAAATACTACAAAAAAACCAGTTTTGTAATTACAAACGGAACGCGCCTTTTTAATTCTGGAAAAAATGGGAGCGAAGAGAAAAACTGCTGCCACAATATCAGGACTTGCCATGTGAATAGTTCTTCACTGGCAAAGTGGCGCGGAAAAGTAGTTTCACTGGTGTTCACGACAATTTCTACCTTATGTCTATGATTTAAGACTGGGAGTCCCTTGCAGACACGTTCTAATTAACCGTCACGCCTCAAAAGAAAGAAGAGGCAAGAAGCCTGTGAAATCATGTGAGACGATAACCTATAATCATAAGAGACGATTAGTGCAGGGCTTCTAGTGGTGACATGATAGTCGATAAATACAATGAAAAAAGCATTTAATTTCTACTGATATTCTAACACTTTTAAGAGTGTAAACCTAGTATGTAATAATCATGTTAATTGACATATTATTTTATTTTAATTTTATTTTATTGACATATTTATTAATTTTAATAACTGACAAATTTAATTTAATTTTATAAATGAATTTCCATTTCTATTATATTTCTACTGTTAATAAGATCAATTGAGTAAGTTATATTGTTAAACAAATGGAATCAGATGACATTTATGCATAATTTGAGATCTATTTAGTTTAGGATTATTGCAATACCGTAACTGGGTTCTTGTTTGGAATGATATATATATATATATGTAACAGCATGTAAACAGCAAGAATGCAATAAATGAATAAATAAATGAATAAATGAAGAGAGGTAGGATATAGCGGTTTTCTCCTCGTTTTGTAGCGCCCGTCTGGGTTTTTCGAGTTCCAGTTTTCATTAGATCACAGTAAAATAACACTACCTTTTGGTGATGTTTTGTTTCTGTCGGTGAATATGGTTGTAGGGCTCCACGGGGTTAGGTGTATTCAACGGAGTGATATTTTTAGTATCGCAATAGGCCATACGCTTGTTTACCGCCGTTTTAACTTAAAAAAAAAACTAGTGAAATGACCTAACCAAACCTTTTGAAGAGAAAATAAAATATAGTATTATATAAAGTTTCCTTATAGTCGTATACAACCGTATTTATAAACAAGTAATTACTTGTTGCAAAGTACCTAATTATTTTGTTGCAAAGTAATCAAATCTGTAATTGGCTAAAGTACCGTTTAAAATTTTATATTAGATTATATTGTGTAAAACGCTGTTGAAACTTGTTGATGATAAATAAAAAAAAAAAAAAAACATTACTTGGCAACAGAATTTTTCAAACGAATAATGGTTCCTATTACTTGGTTAAAAATTCTTATTTTCGTCAGTTCTTACTGTAATCAATTTCTTAGGTATGAGAAGAAAAATATTGCTCAATTAATTACTTAAACAAAAGTAGTCACTTTTACTTGATTATAAATACGACGATAAGAATGTGGCATAGTTTGCAAAATCAATACGGCTATGCACAATCTTTGTTTTTCTGACTCTATATGGTCCATTTAGTACCTTTTTTGAATCTTTGGAAAATTTACTTTATGATGCGAACCAGTTCTTATATTTACTTTGACTTATATGGGACAAACTTCCCACACTATATTTTCTTTCTTGCAAAAGTATCTCTAAAATGGCGAACATCAAAATCACATACTAAAATAAAAATAGGTAAAAAAACTTTTTAAGTTAAACGGTTTTATGTTAAACATACATTGCAATGTTTAAGATAAATGTACTAAAAACCAAAAAATAATAAAATAGATACAGTCATGGGAATTATAAACATATGCATAGACTAGACTAAAATAAAACCGTGGGGCACGTCAATTGTCTACAAATTATCGACTTAATGTGCGATAGAAGAATAGTTTAATTCGTCGTTAGGCAGTTGGCCCGCAGACGGTGAGGAAATTACTATTTTCCTGCTCATGGAAATTCCAATAGTTATACACTCCATGTAAATAAAAGAGATGTTTCAACTAGTTTATCGTTGGACATTCCCACTGCTGGCTGGCGAGGAATCGTTTCACTGCTCGTAGTTTGTCTTTAATCGACAAAACATATGATAAAAGTACTACTCGCTCACCACTATGAAACCCTAAAACTCGCTTATAATCGAGCTTGCTAGCTTGTTTCCACATTCTAGCCCTACTTATCACACGTCCATCGTTGTCGGTTTAACAACTGCCTAATTATAGTGTAACATTACAAAACAAACATTTTAATCAACGATTGTAGACAATTGACGTGCCCCACGGTTTTATTTTAGTCTAGTCTATGCATATGTTTATAATTCCCACGACTGTATCTATTTTATTATTTTTTGGTTTTTAGTACATTTATCTTAAACATTGCAATGTATGTTTAACATAAAACCGTTTAACTTAAAAAGTTTTTTTACCTATTTTTATTTTCTAGTTTTTTGTTCCCGTCGTTTCTGTAATCGACTATTTCTATCACCTTCACTTTCTTTAGCTCGTTTTGCTTTATACTTTTCTTTCGCTTTTTGAAGCCTTCGTTTACGTTGTGTTGCAGTTTCTGTTTTATTTGTGTTTGTATTTTTTATATTTTTTTTTACCATTTTGTTCCCACGAGTAATGGACATTTAAACGGTCGACCCCCCCAGAGGTCCAATAAAGGGGCAAGGCTATGTACAACAAGATGCGCCTGAGTCTTGAGGGGAAAACGCTAACGACATATCATTTTTATCCACCCTAATGCCATACAGTTCTCGGCGCGTTTTAACCTTTCACCTTAACTTGGGTGGTGGACCGCTAACGACGTATCATTTTTAGCCACCCTAACGCCACACAGTCCTCAACACGATACAAAATCTTGACTTGGGTGGTGGATTCAGGCTGGATTAATTAGATACCTAAATTACAAATTCAATTTCTAAATTTAAATCTTATTAATATACGCCATTTAGTGGCTGCGGCCATCTTAGATTTCAATAAATAGTATAGTAAATTGTATTCATATAGCATAATAAATTGTATTCTACTTGTTGAGACCTTTCATTTGATACCCATATTGATGGGATTGATAAAACCTACGTTATCCGCCATTTTGTAGCGGCCGCCATCTTGGATTTCAATTTTTTATAGTATATTGTATTCTGCTTATTGAGCCCTTTCATTTGATACCCATATTGATAGGATTGATAAAACCTACGTTATCCGCCATTTTGTAGCGGCCGCCATCTTGGATTTCAATTTTTTATAGTATATTGTATTCTGCTTGTTGAGCCCTTTCATTTGATATCCATATTGATGGGATTAATAAAACATAAATTATCCGCGATTTTGTAGCGGCGGCCATCTTGAATTTATAATGATAATGAATAAACATAATTGTATTGTCACCAAAATCCAAAGTGTATACAAAATTTCAGATTAATCGGTTGACAGGAAGAGGGTAAAATTTGAATTACTAAATTTGACCCAAGAATAAAACAAACGGGGTGAGCTAAATAAAACCGTTTAATATAGGAACCGTTGACAGTGCATTGACTTTACATATATATGAGAACTAGAAAGTGCTTCATATAAAATGTCGATATCGACATTTTATATGACGCAGAAGTCTCTATCAGGTTTGAGTCATGTGAAACCGCACATTGTAGAGCGGAGTCTTGTTAGCTCGGCACACAGTAACAAGCGTGAACTCTGAGTGTATTCATGTACTTAGCCCGAGACTTGTTTGGCTTTGACAATCTGTTTTTCCTATAAATAATAATATGTACATTTACTTGCTTGCGATACGTTTGTCAACAATGCCTAGATTGAAATTTTGAACCTATAATAATAATTTAATTTTACATAGGTTCGAAATATCTAATGGCGTACCAATATTATAGAAGAAAACCGGTGTAACATTTTAGATATTACTGAACAAGCGCTAATGAAAATACATATATTATTGTGAATTAAATCATTTCTTTTTCGTCAGTTTTTATATATTATGGTTTATCTACACCCATGCTTTAAAACCACTATTAAAGATTCTAAAACAATTAGCTAAAATAACACCCGTTTAGGTGTTATAATGGTTTTTTATTTATTATTTCTTAAATCCCTTCTGCGCTAAGAGCTTGCTCATTAGACAGCCACAATTTTTACTGCTGGATGCGTGGTATTATGAATTTCAAGAAAACAACATTATCATTCACGCTCGCTTCACTACCACAGCGCCGAAACTTTTCATGAATTTTAAGTTCTTAGAACGCCCCATGGTTTCAGAATCTTTTATAGAGGATATACATATAGGTATTAAAATACTAATGTGAACAAAAACAGTTGCATAAATAATTATTAAGTAAGACTTAAAAGGAGATTGCTTAAATTGGCCTAAATGCACAAAAAATATTGACATACACGGTAATTCTTGGCGTAATTTATAATTTAATTTACAGTCATTACATTTCAACGGACACCTTTGTATAATATATTTACTTTAAAATTGACTTTTAATTTTACCGGTTTGGAAATCATACGAATCATTTTTAATGGCTATGGGTGTAGTAACATTCAGCCAAAGACTGATCGAAGTTGTTTATATAACATAAAAACAAATCTATTTTGTAAAGATCGATAAAATATTTTTTTTTTATTACACTGTGTATTAATATCCGCCACTATATTATCATTTTCACTAGATGCAAATGTGCTCAGACAATTATTATAGATGGTAGGCGACATCATAAAGTCTATTGCCATACATTTTTCGCCAACGACCTCCATAAAAACATTATAATCTGTATATATGTTAGACTTTAAGGTATCTATCAATGGGCCTACGTTCCCTGACTATAAATTAATAAATAAATAAAATTATAAGGTGTGATACACTAAAAATCTAAAATATGGTTATCTTAAAAACATAACAAAAATAATGAAGCTACTGAATATATGGCTATAGAACCTAAATCTCTTAGCTTTCTTTGGTT